AGGGGAGACAGTACAGAAAGATGCCAGGCCAGTGATCACAGAACATAGTAATAACTATCATGAATCTTGGAGAATTAAACAGTAAACTTGTTCTTGGAGATAAGGAAGTATCTGAGATGATCTCTCTCCTGGAGATGCCGAAGGCAAGGGGCAAATGGGTGGAGAAAGCCCCTGAGAACAAGGACGAGCTGAAAAGGGCCTCTCCAGATGGCTTCCCAGCTCTACAGGCAGGAGAGTGAGACGGCTTATGGGTGGGAGCTTTGGAGCCAGGTCAGCGCCATGTGCAAACTAGCTCTGGCCTCCCTCGCTGTGTGACTGGGGCAAGTTCCCTCACCTCTCCGGGCCTCACCTTCCTCAGCTGTAAAGTGGGAATCATAGTGTGATTGGCCCTGTAAGGATGAAAGTGGTGAAAACTTGGAAAGCACCTGGAACAGTGCCTGCCCCGTGAGTATGAAGTCAGTGTAGCCACAGGGGCCTTCCTTCCTGAAGGACACACGTGCTGGACGACCCCGCAAGGTCACTTCTAACACCGGTCTCCTTTTCCTACAGCCATGAAGGGGATCCCCCCAGAGGACTCTCTGCTCCCCCACTTTCCAGCTCTAAACCCCCAGGGGCCAGGACCATCCTGTATCCAGTCGGTTCCTGCAAGAATAGAAACAAAGGGGGCAGGTCGGGGCTGTGTACAAGGGTGCAGAACCCGAGCCCAGCACTTGACCTTTGCCCCAGTTTCTCCAAGGTCTCCTCCATCCTACATTCCAGAACACAGCTGCATAGATCGCTGGCACCACCAGCTGGCTGGGTCTCCACCCCTGCCTCCAGGAGCAGGGGGCCAGCATCCTCTGTGTCCTTCTACCTACTCTATCCTTGTCCTGCTTAGAAGGGGTGGCTCCTCAGATCTGCCTACGAAGAAAGAGAGGGGTGATCGCGGTCAGAAGCCGCTGCCAGGCATGGGCACGCTGGCATGCGTGACCCCTGCACAGGCATCCCAGCTGCGGAAGAAACCGGAACCTCTCCCCAGGAAAGGCTCCTCCCAGGAGACCAGAGAAATGCTTTCAACAAGGCCCTGTCTGTCGGCACGGTCTCCCCTGCCTGGTGTAGTAGGTGTTCAGCAAACACACAGGAAGTTACTTCCGCCAGGAATCCTTACCCCGAGCTGCAAGATGAAGCTGGGAAAGCACTGCCACCCGACAAGCCTCTATCCTCTCTTCCCTCTTCACCCCATCTCTGTTCCTTGGCTGGAGGAGCTCAGAGCCTGATACATTGCACAGTCATACACATACAGAGTGTGTGATAAATCCGTTGGCCCTTTTTTAAAAAATGCCACTGGCTCTGCTGAAGCTTTGGAAATGACGCTCCACGACTGGAACCCAAGGGCTGCAGCAAGAAAACAGACTTAAAAAGCCCCAGAACGGTGGGCTCTGGCCGGGCCTCCCACAGCCAGCAAGGAGTGTAAAGAAACACAGGCCGAAATTCCAACCTGGGTCGCTAAGGCATTTGTCTCTGCTGAGCTCCGAGAGGCCAAACCACACACACGCACCAGAGTGCACACACACATACACACACAGGCACACGGAGCTTGGCAGCCCGTAAGTTCCAGAGCTGGTAACACAAGCCACGGAACCGACTGCCAAGACAAGCAACAGAAAGAGCCAGGCCCAGTTTCATTGGCCACCATACGCTGCATATGGCCCGGGACGCAGCCAAAACAGTGTTCTCACCCTCCTCAAAGGCATAGGAGACCCTCTGTTTTCAAACACACCTCCACAGAGCCTTAATTAAAGGAAAATGGAAAAATAATGTGTCTGCTGCTCTCCCCCTGCCTATATAGGTATGCACACACACACACACACACACACACGCATATTCATACACACTCACTCTATGTTTCTCTTCCTCCCATTTCAGTTTCAAACATAATTCATTCGCATGGAAAAAAGCAAACTGCATCCTGCAGCAGAAAAGCAGAAAAGAATGTTGCCTGCCCTCAGCCCTGGCTCTGAGTGCTCCAGTTGAGCTGGGGCTGAATGAATACAGAGCAGGCCAGCCTAGCGTCTGCACTGACCCCTCTCTTCCAGAGCAGAGCTGGAAACAGAAACCCTTGTGAGAGAGACAGCCCATTGCAACACCGGCAGACCCACGACAAACAAGGCCTGGAGCGCCTGGCCCTTCTCATCCTGCCAAGGGTTCTGCAGGTTGGAAAAGATGCCCACACAGCCTGCAAACAGGTGGGGGAGACAGACGCTGGTGGCTGCAAAAGCTAGGCAGTGAGTGCGTGAGTGAGGAGATCCTGGTCCAAACCCTTCCCTAGGGGACACCATTACCACTTAGCAACACATCTCCTTAGAAGTGGCTGCAAACAACGTAGGAGAAAAGTCAGAGGCCTCCACACCCATGCCTGCCAGCAGCCTTTCAAATCTCACGGCACCCAGCTCTTCAGGAAGATTCTGGAGCTGCCTGCAGCTCTGAACCAAAGCCAAAGTGGAAGGGGAACAGAAGACTCTTTGAGAAATCCGTCCTCCCTGTTTCAAACAAGGCACAACCTTCACCAGCCAGAGGCACGAGAATAGACCTTGCTTCTCTTCCCAGGTCCTCGGGTTAATCAGAGCCGTGCTCACACCTGATACCGGGCTAAACTCTCCCCTAGAAACCTGCAAAGGAAGATCAGGCAGCATTCCAAGCTGCAGCCAGATTTGCTGGAAAGATGAAAGCAATGGGAGGTGTTTTTAAAAACCTTCAGGAAAGGGAGGTTGGGGAGATGATATGTGAACACAATTCACAGCAAGGCCTTCCAGGACAAGCAGGCACCAGTCGTGGCGCAAAGCTGCTATTTCTGAGGCTCCTCAAACCTGAGGAGAGCCCACCAACTTGGCTGCACGCACCCTCAGTCGGCAAGCCCTTTTTTTGAGTGACAGGCCTGGGCTCATCTGCATTAAGCACATGTGGTCAGGACACAGCTTGATGCCCTCGATGCCAGGAGGGTGGTCTGCCCACCGGGCCAGGATCAGGCAACCTTGCAAGTGGAGCTGACCCAAAGGGTGAGTTAATTTCCTTCCACCGCCTCTTCATTTCCAGCCTCATGCATGGCCCGGCCATCCCAGCAGAAGAACCAAGGCTTCCCCATCTTCCCGGTCTCCCAGGGTCTGGGGTCCTGGCCTTAAGACCCAATCCCTCAGCCTCCTTTGAAGGGAGGGGCATAAGAGAGTCTGCTAAACTGGGCTGATCAGGAGAGGAGGGGCTGGTTACCTAGAGGAGCCGGCTTGCCTCCTTATGTAACCTGTCTTGGGAGCCCCCCCCCCCCCCCCAGGGAACGCAAAGGGGACCCGGGCCACCCCCCTAGGCCTCCTCGCATCCCAGAACCCGGGAGCAATGCCCCGAGAGAAGCACTCTTCATTGGATGGGGAGGCCCGGGCCTTCTCCAGTCCTCAGGGAGGCACGCTTCCTCCCTTCGAGGGGGTGGGGGCGGCACACTTGCCAGCCGGTCACTGTCATCCTCCTCCTACCACCCCCCCAAGAACCCTGCACCTCCCTGGCCTTTCACCCCCCATCTGCACCCCCAGGCCCGTCTCCCCCAGGCAGTGTTCTCCCCACTCACCCGCCTTCCCCGCCGCCCGAGGCGAGCACCTCTCTGCAAACGCACGGGGGAGAAGAGCGCTGGAGGGAGGCGGAGAGAGAGCCCCGGCTGCCTGGGAGCAGACGGAACCTCCCGTCCCAGGGCGGGAACCCAAGGGACGCCACCGGCTTCCAGCTGCTTCTCG